TATTGAATCCGGGTGTGCATATATCATTTTCCTTTAAATAATCCTAACGCCTTAAAGAAGTTTATTCAATTTAATTTGTTTTTATAATTTAAACAATGAAATGTATATCTATTAGCATTAACCAAATACCGACTTCAAATTTAAACTAGAGTTAAAGAGTTTTGATTGAAAGCAACAAGTTATTGTCAATATTCTCATAAAAATAAAAACACCTGTATAATTATAAATTGCGTGTCACTCTCACTCTTCATAGCTAGTTCAATAATTTAAAATTTAAGATTTTAAGTAAAAAATCTAAAATTTAAATTTTGAGTGGAGTTAAAAAAAATTTAAAAAAATGGAGGACTATCTTTTTTTTTCTCAAACTTATCATCATCAAATATCATACCAAAAAAAATCAATTGCGTCTCTGCATAGTTAGTATCTTTTCCACCTATGTAAAAAGAAATCAACAGCTGAGAACACTGAAAACTGCGTGTCCTTTAGAATTGCAACGTAACAACGCTACTGGCAGAGCAGAGAGAGATAAACTGACAAGCTTCGACAAGTACAAAATAGTACAAATTCTAACAAAAGGAGAAACATAAGCTGAGTCTGGTGAGTTCTCCTTCATGTTGTTATGTGTTTCTATTTGTCAAACTCCCATATTACACCTCCGTCCTCTGTAATTTCAAGGAGAAAACAGATCAACCATAAAGATAATCATGTGATTCATGTCTTTGAAATAACGACTTGGAGGAAAGTTCCTACTGCGTTTTCATGAAGAATGTAATTTTATACTCAACCAAAAGCAACTCACTACCAGTTCCTGACTTGCAGTTCATAAGGGGGCGGTTATCAAATGCAACCAGAATTATAGACTTCATTTTATTTTACTTTTTCTAATTTAACCCGTATGTTGTTGCCTTTTAAAATTTTAGAGGAAGAAACCAAGTAGACACCACTTTGGATGCCTGACTTTATAAATGCCAAGGACCATAAAGAGAATGTTTTCCTTCATAGCATATTTAGATTGAGGGGAATGGAGGGGAGGGGAAAAAGAATTTTCTATTTGGTTATCAAAAAAATTAGAGAGAGAAGGGAAAATTTTCTTTTTACTTTTTTTTTAAATTTAATTATTTATCCAAATAAAGGAGGGAAATGAGTAGAGAAACAGGGGGAAATTTCCCCTCCTTTTCATTCCCCGCAACCCAAACATAGGGTTAGTGGGTTGAACACGGCTTTACAAGTTGAGGAGGATTCTTCCTGGAATCCTGATCCTCCTGAATGTAATTTCAAATCTCTAGATAAGGCCAGGCCTGACCACATTTCTCTTCTCTATAACTTCCTAAAGGAAAATTCAAAGAATACCATATACCCTGAGGACCCTTTTTCAGATGTTTAGACAATACAAAAAGGCTTGATCATTTTCCTCAATTTGTATTAAGGATTTGTTTCCCCTACGAACTTTAGGATTTCTACCCGGAACTCACCCAAGCCTCAAACCAGGCCCTCGGGGACTGCTTCCAATCATATTTCTTAAATAATGTGCTACATTTGAGAAATGAACAGCAATAACTTCTATACTAAAAGAATATCAAAAAGCTTGCCACATATGCCGGTCCTTGAGGCTCATACCTCAACTTCTAGTGAGCAACAGGAAGAAAGAATCAACTGTATTCCAAATTAAGAAAAGGAAGAATATAGAGGTCTCACTAATACCTTTGATTTTCTTCTCTATCCAAGCCTCCACCAGCATCCCAGAACCAATTCCAGCAGCAATACATGCTCCATAGAAAGCAATAGCGGAGGGTAGAGACCTCCTTGGAAGGAAATAACAGTCAGGAATTTGCCTAATCTTACTAGGAAGCCGATTCTGTACAACTGTTTTGCCACTGGCACTAGGATCCTTCTGCCATTCACTGCCAATAGCTTTCCAGTCAACCCATTTCAATGGTTCTTTAGGCTCTTCACTTCTCATTATGTGTTTCCCCTGTGATCAATTCTTTAGTTACGAAGCTTAAACATGTATCCTATGATCTGCTGAATCCGAAGCCTAATAACGGAGAAGTCACAAAAACGTAGTGTTCACTATTTCAGGCAAAAGGAACTAAAAGAGAAGGAGATTCAAATTTTGAAAAAGACCACATGTATCACATGAAAATTTCCAAAAGTTACCTTTAAAGCTAAGAATAAAATGACAGAAATAACTAATCCAATGACATTTTCGTTTACCTGATGTTTTGCACTACATTGATGGACAAACATAGAAACGAGTTTCTTTTTTGGCCACAAAATGTAGAAATGAGTAAAACTTGACATACATTGATGAACTGTGAGATTGTTAACACGAGTACAGATCCAGATTCTTTACCTTCCTAGCATTTAGGAAAAGGAAAAACATAAAAGAAATTTTTATATTTTTTGGTAGTTTGTGGTTACTCTCAACAGGCCTTAAACAGCATTACCCATGATTAATGGTTTAAGCAAATGCCATTTGACCTTAAAATCATGCTTTTATAAGATTATACTCTTGATCAATTCAAATTTGATCGAGCATTAAAACCAAAGGAAAAGGAGATATTAATATATTCAACAGACACAAAAACAAACTAAAAAAAAAAAAAAACCAGTTCTTGGAGACGATTTTCAAACAAGTTGATATTGTTAGAATTTAGACAAACATGAGCAAAGACAGATTATATCTAATAACTAAAAACATACAAGCTGTTTTTGGATAGAGTATTTTAAAGTTCATTATACTAACTTTACTGTTTGGATTTTTTTTATTTAAAAAAAATATGGAAACTCAAATTATGACTTTTTGCATTTGGTAAAAAGAATTTAATAAATAACAATACATGAGCCGATTAGGATGCTAATTTACAAACCAGAAAACGCAAATCAGTTCTTTGGAGAACAACTCATTCAGACAATTCATCGAACACCTAACTTGCAAATTTTCCATTTTTGATCAATCTAACTTGCAATTTTTAAACAACTTTGGTCAAGCAAATATTTTGAAAAGAAACTCACAATCATCAGCAAATACAAAGTGAAGTAAATCCATTACAAGCTTACATGCTAAAAGAAACGAAAAATAATATGAAAAACAAATGATCAACTAAAGAGTAAGAGGGGAATTGCTAGCCTTTATTAAATCATGGTTAAAGGAAGAAAATTTTCTTGAAGTCTTCCTTCCAGCGAATATTTTGAGCATTGCAAGGACTAAATTTCAAGAAAACCCACCAACATTTGCCAAGTTCCGATACAGTAGATCAATACTTTAACACCTATGTATCTCGGTTCTTCCAAAAACCCAAAAATGGCAGCACCATTTATGAAGTCTAGAAACCCAGGAAAAGTGTCATTACTCACTAGCCATGCAGGAATGAAAGTTTGCAAGCTTCTCAAAGACACAATATCTGACATACGCCACTGGGTTGATTTTGTTTCCATGAATTACTAGTGTATTCAGTATACATACCGTTATATTGTCCCTGAATTGGTGATCCTCTGTAGTTCACCGGGGAAGTGTTGAGCAAATAAAGTTGGCTGAGAAATGGACGTCTAGTCAGTAGCACACTGCCAATTGAACAAAGAAGAGGCTTTAAAGTTTAAAGTGGGTTTGGAGTTTGGACTTTGAATTTGGAGTCTTTGACAGTTGGGCCGGAAAGCTCCTTTCTTTTCTTTTTCGGCCCAAAGCTTACTTCACTTTTTCTATGATCTTGTGTTATAGTTTAAATTGTATTATATTATAAAAGGAAAATTATTAAATAAAACACAATATTACGAACCCACCTTATCCATTGAATTATGTTGTTTAGTTTAGCTATTATTTTTAATCAAATGAATAAATATATTTGAATTATAGATTAACAACTATTAATTAGGTATCAACCTAAATAATTTTGTAATAATTTGTTTATGTAAATGTAAGACATTCTAAATAGGTAAAAATAAAAAATACTTATTTTTTATTGTACAACTTAAAATTAAAAAAAAACCTAATATATTTTTTTCTCTTAAAAAAAAAAACTCACACTAGAAAACCTAGGTGAGACTCAAAGGTTTACAAATTAATTTTAATAACCTAAATACTGTGTTTTTTTTTTTTTTTGTCAAAGACCAGAGTGGCCTAACGCTAATCTCCTCCCTAGTGGAATAAAAGATTTTGAGGTTTGAATAGAACCGCACTCAAGTGAAATGAGCAAAGGGATTAGGGAGAATTGTTTTACAATTGTTTAGTTCAAAATAAGAGAAATAGACTATTATTGCTTATTTTTATAGAAATCATATAAAAATCTTTTTATATAAAGTGGATGGATCGTTCGTATACTTGTCAATTTAACACCTAATAAGACACATCTCATTAAAAATATAATTATGTCGGTTTAGGGATATGATAGGCATACACTTAAATTTGCATCCATTCATCCAATTATTCCCTATTTATGGTTCTAAACACGCCAACAAGAACCCTCAAAATTATTCTGCTTTTCTTCTGCATCATCCAGTTCTAGATTGATCACCATTTCCTTTTGTTTATATTTGATAGCGGGGGTTGGTGGGTGAGAGGCAAAAGTAGTTAATTTCCTCTAATTCGACCAACGGAAAGATAGAGACATGGAGTGCAGATCCGATTGATAATTGTCAACAAATTCCAATAATATCGGTGTAGATATGATGAAGTGCTAAGCTAGTTAAGTCACTAGTTTTTGTAGTTGTGCTCCTACCAAGTGATATTGCGTGGGACTTGATTTTAATTAGTAGTTTATAGAGTTTGACAGTATGCTCTAGTGTTTGGTAGTAAATTTTGATTTAAAGAGTTTAGGGTTTATTACGGATTTTGGCTAAATGGTGAGTAGAGAGTGATATGAGAAAGAGGCAAGCGATGTCACTAAAGATCACTATACTTATTGCTATTTTTGATGTGAAAAAGGAGGTTGAGATGATGAAGGTGAGCAGGATTGGTGTGGAGAATAGGGACTCAAGGTTGTTGGAGAAGTCTCTTCGTTTCAATCGACAAGACTTCATCAAAAATGGGAAGGGATTCAGCTTTAAACTTGTCATTTAAGTTACCAATGATAGTTCGAACAACAAAACAAGTGAGGGATAACTTTTTAACAACTGCCAAATAATATTCAACCATATTTTTTCAACTGAGCCAAGAAAGTGTACTCGAGTATGTCAATTACAGGTGTACATTTATCATTTTCCTATATATGAAATTCACCATAGAAATATCTCAGATATTTCTAATTACATTAATTACTGTAATTCTATTGAACTTTAGTAAATCAATATTCAAATAAGAATCTATCACAATAATTTAATGATTCTAGAATCAATCAGTCACTGGTTCCAAATCATCTTCACAAAACTTATGGAGAATGGAGGCAAGCTTAGCAACCGTTAAGGGCTTCTCCTTAAAGTCATTCAGTCCAGCATCCATGAATTCTTGCTTTTCTTCTTCCAATGATCTCGTCGACACTCCGGCAATCATGCTATGGATCCCCATCTCTCGGAGCTTCTTGGTCGCCTGTAATTCAAACAAAATCATCAATAGAAGTTATTCTTTAGTATTTTTCCTGGTACATCATACTGTGGCTATACAATAAAGAATAACCATCTTCTTCCTTTAATCCCTTGGTTTGAACTTGACAATTTTAACTTAGAAACTTAAACTCTTAACCATTTGAGACACACCTCAGTTACTTTTCATTGTTTTTCTATGGGCAATTATCATTTTTTTTTTTCAAAAAATATCTGAAATAAAACATACCTCAATACCGTTCATGATGGGCATCTCCAGGTCCATTAAAATAAGGTCGAAATTCTTGCCGGTGCAATGAACATCAACGGCCTCTTTGCCGTTGGTAACTGTCTCGCTTTCTATCCCAAGGTTGTCCAGGAGTTTCCGGTGAATCTTCCGGTTGATGATGTCATCGTCCACCACAAGTGCTGTACTGATATTCGTCTGGATATTCTTCATCTGTTCTCTGTTTATCCTTGGCGATGAGAGAAGTGCCGTTCCAACAACATTCGAAACCCCCTCTTTGGTGCCAATATTTATGTTCTTGAACCCCATTTATAATCGTCAAGACTTCAAACTGTTGTGATACAATACAAGGAATGAGTATAAGTCTGGTTAATGCTAAAGAAATTCTGGCTTATATAAAAGGGATGGGTCGCGGATCAAGAAAATGAGATAAGTAAAGGGTATCACTTTGGATTTTGTCTGGGAATAACAAAAATCTGCAAATGTGATATATTTCCGCAAGTACTTCGTAGAAAATATTCCCTGAAATATTAGAAAACGAAGAATGATTCGTGAGATTGTTAGTTAAAAAAAAAAAAAAATCAATTTGTAACATTAGTCAGTGTAATTACAATAAAATAATTTATAACATGACTAGGTGTTTTTGTCCTTCTCT